GTTTTGGCGCAAAAGCAGCCACTTTTGCACAAGATCACACCAATGTAGACACAGCCTAATTGTTTACAGCCAGGCCCTAAGATACAACTGGATTTGCTCCAATCCCAGTCACCTAAAGGATCTCTATCAGGCATTCCTAAAACTTAAATACCCATCTGAGGAAGTGAAAAAATAGATTGACAGAGCCAGACGAGTACCCAGGCATCAGCTTCTTCAAGATAGGCCCAAAATAACAGAACATCACTAGTCATCACCTACAGCACCCCATTTTAAACTCCTCCAGTGCATCATTAACAATCTACAACCTATCCTGGAAAACAATCCCTCACTCTCACAGGCCTTGGGGGAAAGGCCAATTCTTGCCTAAAGACAAGCCCCTAACGTGAAACAAATTCTTTCCAGCAACCACACATCACACCGCAAGCATATTAACCCAGGAACCCACCCCTGCAATAAACTCCGGTGCCAACTGTATCCATACACAATTTGGGGGGGCATGCAGCTAGTCGCACACAGAGTTGGGGGGAGAGAGGGGAGATGCGGCCCGTCGACTACTCCTTTACATCCCTAATTCAAACACAGAATCAGGATCACAAAGAAAAAACAATTTCTTGCCATTTCAACCAGAAAGGACACTGTCTCAACGACTTGATTACCTGCATTCTGCTACAAAGACCTTTTACATCTGCACTTGAAAGGGAATCCTCTGAACTGTCATTCATGCTAAAATTCGCCACTCGGGGGGGGGGGATTGAACAAAGACCCCAATTACCTTACCCATTACAAAGATAGCTTCCCCAATTATCACCTCTAATACCATTAGCTCACAGACATCTACCTTTCCCCACCTCTAATATCATTAACTCACACTTACCTTCCTCCCCCCCCCTTCTGTTCTGAAATGTGATTTGTCCTTTTCATATGTGTTCATTTTTTTAAATTGTATCCTTTGGTATATGGTTGTGACTATATTCTTCCACTATTTGATCTGAGGAAGTGGGTCTGGCCCACGAAAGCTCATCATCTAATAAACCATCTTGTTAGTCTTTAAAGTGCTACATAGTCCTGCATTTTACTGTATCAAGTATTATTCAAAAAAGTTACCTGCACAAACCAAGCAAGAGAGATAGGTACCATTCTCAAATCCCATGTTACAAACTGCATGAGGATAAAGAGGAGAAACACAAACACCTGGAACACATTCAACCACTTCAACTTCAACGAATCAGAACATTTTCTATCATCTGCAGAATTCATAAAAAATATTCCAAACACAAATAATTCACCTGAGGCAGGCATCAGTTCTGAGAATCAAAGCAATCCAAGAAAAAAAGTGAAAAATTTTCACTTCAGTGGGTTTATCTAGAAAGGAATATAGTTAAGTTTGATAAGTCCTGCATACTGACTGCAGATTTTAACTTTTTTTTTTTATCCATCTACAAAAATTCAGAAAGGGTACACTTTGGACCTGTGATAACAGTAAGTAAAAAGGAGGGCAGTTTTATGGTAACTCTGAAGCCCAAGATGAAAACCATGTATAGACATTTTTATTACGTTTGGCAAGGAGACAGAGGGCGACCCAAGCAGGATATTATTCACATACTGAGACATGCAATGGTTTGTACTTGCCAATTTTAATACTTGGGCCATCACTGTTCTCTAATTGAGCAAACGGTTCCATGACAATAGGAAGAGCCACCCTATCTGCATCATAAAAGTAAACTACATGAGATCTACATGCATGTAATCTGAACAAAATTCCCTAAATATTTTTAATTTCAATTAAAAATTGACAATATTTACTAGAGGCTCTTCTTTCTGTTTTAGTATTAGGGGTATGTAGATGTGGACTTTGCTATTTAGTCATTAATGGTTCCTGCTTCTTACTCCTTCACTTGCAGCCATGCTCTTTTCACGATAGAGTCACCCCTACAGACAGTAAGTAGTGAGGTCTTGGAGAAGAGTGTTTCAGGAGAACAAGCAGTGGAACTTGTTTGCAGATGAGCTTCTGACAAAGAATGAGCCTGTTTTATGCAGGCGACAGAGTGCATGTTTTAGCTCAGTAAAACTTGTATTTCGACGTACCCCAGAAAGAGCTGGTGGGTCCAATACTTAAGGGATTCATTTCTACTATTGACAAATCTGATTTCAGAACAGTATTTGCAAGTCTATAGAAAGGCATCCAGGAAAGATTTTCTGAAATTTTGCTTACAAGGCAGTGAAACATCCAACCTTACATTTACTTGTATGTTTTCCCCATTCATTTCAAAAAATTGTTAGCTTGAAAACAACAATAAATAAATAGCTCTCCAATACAACCCAGTTTAGATTGATTAATGTCACCATAACACGCAGAAGGATAAGGATCTGTAATGTGAGTGGCAAATGGCACAGGAGAAATAGGAGGGCAGATCAGTTTGTAGTCCCCTGCTGGAGTACAAGCAGCAGCATTCCCAACAGGTAAGTTTCACTGGCTGCTTTCAAATCATGCAAGGCATCCATGGAAACAAAGTGTAGAAGATTCAGTAGTTACACACTTTTTTTTTGTTCTGTAGCAAAGAGTTTATGTCGGAGGCAGGAGAGAAAAAGAGCACCTAGAATATGGCTTATACCCCATGACTAATGAGAGTTGGAAAGCTCAATTACTGATTTGGGGGGGGATGTCAGGATCAATTAAGGCTAATATGTAGGGGAGGAGCTTTGTATCTAATATAAAGAGAAGGCCTCAAGTCAGAAGGAGAAAGAAGCCCAGAAGTGTAGGCCTTGAAAGTCTTGCCTGAGAAAGGAATGCTGAATTGGTCAGGAGAGAGATGGGGTGAGCACTAGCTCTCAGAAAAAAAGCTCCAGGCAGTACTGCTCACAACCAGAGACAGGAAGGAGCTTGGGAAGAGGGCCTAAGAACAGGCCAACACAGGAAGAACCCAGGGAACAGCAAGGAGCTTGAGGGAGCAGACAGTGGCTGCTCACTACTGTGTTCCAGGACTGGAACCAAGTGGGTGTGAAACCTCCTGGTACAAGATAAGAACTTCTGAAAGTCCTTAGCTAAGGAAGACGAAGGACCACTGGACGCAGGGTTCAGCGCTAAAGAACGGACAAGGTCATTGAACTCTTATTTGTCAACTGGAATTTGTTACCCCGGTGAGGAAAGACTGTTGGTTACCTGACAGAAGACTAAGATGTGAGAGATGTTTCTTCTATTTTTTTTCTCTATCCAAGGGTGGAATAAATTTTGTCACATGTACTGAGGCATGTGCTGATGTGCACCACCAGCAGAAACATAATGCCAGCTGTGGGCGCTCTGCTAATCAGCTGGGTGGCATTTGAATCTCTCCTGGGTAGACACCCGAGTGCTCAGCTTACAGGGAACACTGCTCCTGAGAATAGCAGACCACTGCGGGGCCGAAGAGACTGTAAGGCGTGGGCAACAAAAGAGGAGATCCTGCCAAATCCAGACATGAGAGGGCATGCTGGCTGGTGAGTCACTGTTCTGCAAGACCTGTTTGACTTATTTAGTTATGTTATAGTGCCTAAAACACTTGAGGACTTTTGTAGGTACACTGTGAGCTAATTATATTGTGTAAATGAAATATTTCAACTGACTCCATGTCCTCTATAAATGGATCTCATTACAGAGGAGGAAGCTGAAAGTCCTTCCAGCACAAAGATAAACTAAAATTCTGCTATAGCAGAGTCTATACTGAGAGTAATATCACATATCCATTGTGTTAAGTAGTGATCTACCTTTGGAGAGCGAGATGAAGAGAGAACAATCTCTTATTTCTAAAATGGGGAACAAATTGAAATTGTTTAAAAAACCCAACTTTTGAGATTTAGTCCAATCATCATGGGAGAACAATTCTTAACAACTGAAAAATAGTCTATTTGCTTAGACCTTGCTTTTTGTTAGTGTTTATTAATCATTTTCAATTAAAATAAGAGAATGGAGGAGGAAAAAAAAGCAAACCAGAACATCCAGCCAAAAAGCATCTTGAAGTCAACAACAAGTTAATTGCAGTGCTACAAAGCACAACTCTAACCTGTGCTTTAGGAATTTTGTTTGGGGTGCTGGCTGGAAGTGGTTTTCATTGCTTAATAAAGCCATCCTTGTGCTTCACAGGCAGACTTGCAGCTAGTCAGTGAGGTATGGTGCGTTTGAAAAATGTAAATAAGAAAAGGGAAGTGGTAAATTCCTAATACATAGCCGGTATAAAAACCATCAATAATCAAAACAAGGTTTCTTTGGGATATGTATATCTATAATTTTGGGATAAATTTAGATTTAATTGTAGAATTAAATCTAAGTAGTTTTACAAGAGTGTCTTTTACAACTAAATTTTAGCAGTAAAGCTTTAGAGATGTTCTTACCATGCTTCAGATGTAGGCAGCTGTCATTCTGGGGCCTGTACCTGTAGAAGATTGTTGTCCTTTAACAAATTTCCAGTGAAGAGTTTTTGCACATTCCAAATAAGTTTTATGCTACAATATTACATAGATTTGTTTTGTTCTTTTTTGTGGTTCTTATACCAGCCATTTTGTTTATTTTAAAATATATTTTTGATGTAAAAGGAAAAGAAGAGACCTCACTGATGCTTCGAGCCGACCTATAAGGCAGCTGTTAGTGTACGAAAACTAAAATGTAAACACAATGGAAATACTACAGAGGCTACTAAAATTACATGACAGACTAGTGTCAAATAATCACTGATGCACTTTCTTTGGTCTACATATGAAAGTGAAAAGACCTGATTAAACAGAAGCAAAGCATGACAATAAAGGTAGCGATTAATAAGTTCACCAAAGTAAAAGTACATTGTTTCTATCCAAGTGAAAATGTGTATTTGATGCATTTTTAGTCACATTCAAAATAACATTTTAAATATTAAAATGTGAATCAAAAGTGTTGAAGTAAGAGTGAAAACGAAACAGTGCGGTATGTGGGGGGTTTAAGATACACAAATGAGTGTGGAAAATAAAAAAAACAAGAGCCACTCACAACATACCTGATGTTGACTCCTGTAGTTTTTCTCTCTTCCTCTTCTTTTTCTTCCCCTGGAAAATAGATGACTTTACCATGCCATTCTATATATAGAATTATTTTTCCTCCACCCAGTAACCAACAAATGAATTCCAGGCATAACATCTCAAATCTGAGGATTTTGTGAAAAAGTGGCATTGAAGCAATAGCATTTTCAATGTAGTTTAACCCCCATGTCAATTCCATGCAATCTGTTCCAATTGCAGCCAGTTTTGCACTTTCCATGCTTACGGAGAAACATCTGTGAAAGTCTTAGAATGTGTCAGTTTCTCAAATGAGACAAATCCTCCAGACATATTGCATTTGCCAGCATTATTTGGTCACAAATAAACCACAAATATTTTCTTGATGTAGAAACAGTAGGTCAGTGCCATGATTTACAATTCTTATGTCTTCATATATAACTTCAAAGCCTAATAGGAAACAAACAGTCTTATGTGACACCAATAGAAAAGTTTTCCAGGTGCAGAAATAACTGGTAACTTAACTTGCCCCCCTTATACATGATCAATACAAGTATATTCCAATGTTAACTGTAAAATCAAGACCCCTAAGCCTGAGGAATTTGATACAGAAGCCACTTTTGGAGCAGAGTTGTGTTTCAGAAACTAAATTTTCATTTAAAAAAAGAAGTGCTAGTCCGTGTAGTTGCAAAAATAACCTTTTTAAAACATGAGCCACCTTCGTGCTGCAAGGACTCTGAATTTGCAAACAGTCTAAAACAATAGTTCTGAGAGCCATGACCTGCCCAACTCAGCTACATGCGGTATTAGCTGAGGAATATTTCTTCAAACATAATGACATGCATTTAAGCAGAGTAATTGAGTTATTTTCCAGCAGTATGACATTCTGTCTGGAACAACTTTTGTTACATGCGTGCATTCAACATTTGCGTAGGTGGTAGTGAGGGAAAGGCTTACTCCTTTGCAGTTGCCCATAATCATGCCAGTCAAACTGTGGTCCTCAGTACTGCTGTTCACTCTCTAATGCCATTTCAACTGGCTACAGTATTAATACTCACTATCAAACTGTTAGGTATATGTTTCATCTCAGAGCTACATTTCAGTGATGGACAAAATAGTTTACATATATTGTTTTGGCATCCTTCTGAGTTGAAGATGCTATACATAAATAAAAGGTAACTAGTTTTCAATTCAATGTAGGGGAATCTAAAATAGTAATCTTCTAATTGAGGTATTATGCTATAAAAAGTTGTATTTGTATTTTTATCAGGCCTAATTTGTGTTATACCTGATGGGTTGGTAAGTGGTAGCATACACATTTTAAAAAAGGGGAGGGGGGCATATTTACACAGGATCTGTCCTTGCAAATCAAGGCTTGTCAACAATTTGAAAAGCTACAACAGCACAGATGTATCACTGTAGTGCTTCAGTGTAAACGCTCACTGCCTGGGCAGACAGGAGGGGTTGTCCTGGCAAAGTAGTTTATCCATTTCCCCCCCAAGAAGTAGTAGTAGAAGAAAAATTATTCCGTCAACCTAGCACTGTTAGGCTATGTCTACACGGGCAGCTTCTTGCGCAAGAACAACTGTTCTTGCGCAAAAACTTGCCTGCTGTCTACACTGCATGCGCGTTCTTGCGCAAGTAAATTTACAGTATAGCGGTGTAAAACAGGGCTTCTTCCGGAAGAGTTATTCCTCTCCCCACGAGGAATAAGCCCTCTTGCGCAAGACCTCTTCCACAAGAGGGCACTGAAGAGAGGCAACATTAATTTCTTGCACAAGAAGCCCCTATGGTTAAAATGGCCATCAGAGCTTTCTTGCGCAATAGAGCGTCCACATTGCCGTGGAAGCTCTTGTGTAAAAGCACATGCCAGTGTAGACGCGCTCTTGTGGAAGACTTTTTGCGCAAAAAATCTTCTGCAAAACAGTTCTTGCGCAAGAAGCTTCCAGTGTAGACGTAGCCTTAGGGTGTTAGGTCAGCTTAACCACACAGCTCAAGGGTGTAATGTGTTGTCTTTTTGTAATACCCTAGACCGATGTAGCTGAGTTAACCTAACTTTTGAGCACAGACCAGGCCTAAGAAGTTTAATGTAAAATGCTTGCTTGGAATATGCTGAGTTCAAATGCAGTTTGAATCTACTATGTTGCTCTTGAGTGGCAGATTAAAGCTCCCATGTTAATAGGTAAAAAGGTCAGCCAAAAGGGTTGGCGAACAACTTCCGATTTATAACAGATCCTTCATTCAGGTATCTCAAAACTCTTTTGCAGACACTAAATTCCAAACACAGAAGTGTGATCGGTATGTACACTACATATATATGTAAACAAAAAGGTACAAGTGTTAGACTACTTGTCCAGGATCACAACTTTTTAGCCAATGGATAAGAATAGGCTATGAAAGGCTTTAGAAGTGACTAGTTCTCCTGCCTTACTCTGACACTACATGTATGCCTATGTGCCCGCATGACAATCATGCCAACCCACACAGTAGAAGTATGTGTCAGGAATTAATTATTCCCTTCTTCATATATGAAAGAGGACAGGTCTCCATCTGTGATCTTTTACAAAGCTTCAAATTTTGGCTGGGTCCTGTTGTCCTTATCCCATTGTAACTACGATCTCTACATTCGCCAGTGACATTTCTTTCCTCCCCTACATTACTATTAATATTCTGGTCTTCTAAACTCCTTTGGGGCATCAAGGGAAGAGTAAGGCTATGTCTACATATGGAGAGGCATAAGGATCTTGCGCAAAAAGGGGGTTTTGCGCAAAAAAGGAAATATCCACACTACTTGTTTTTGCACAAAAACGGACTGTAAAGGATTATGCAAATGAAGCACAAGAAAATGCTAATCCGTGCTTCATTTGCATTGCCTCTTCCAGTAAAGTGCGTAGTGTAGACATAGCCTAGGTCTCCTTATATGATGACTTAGCTAGTATTTAACAGTCTATTACCAAACATTATGCTGATTTACAGGTAGGCACTCTGCCTATCTCTCCGGAGGTTCACGTCCTAGCCTGTCCTCAGCAGAGCCAGTACCGACAGATAATTTGATAGGAATAAACTTCCAGAGGCTCAAGACCAAACACAAGCTAAACAAACTTCAAAGGCTCCTGGAGCACATCAGCATACTGTGCCATCTAGCCCTCTGGCCTCTTCATGAGGCAACATGGAGAGCAAAGTCTTGCACCTGAGAAATGTTCCTTCTCTTTAGATTTCTGAGAGCACCTGAATGAAACACAAGAATCAGGCTGAGGGGAAAATATGTTTCAAACTTGGCCACCAGTAGATTAATAACCCCAGAATACAGTGACACTCAACAGTATTCATACCTCATGTACTAGATGTATCTTGACTAGGGATGTGAACAGGTAACCTGTTAACTGGTGCCAAAGAGCTGCCATCTCTGTCAGCCTCTGTCTCCCGCCCTAATCGGTTAACTGATTAAAGAGGATTTTACATTTACCTAACCTTGACCAGCCTAAAGTGCAATTCAAACATAACCATGTCAAGTGACCATTGAAAAAAGTTAATTACTGTTGAAGCAATTTATTTTAAGTGATAAACTGCTCTCTACTGGGCTGTTCTGCTCTGCTCATCCAAGAATATAAATTCTGAGTTGCAGAGGGGAAGAGAAAGAAGTCCTGCAAACTTGTGCCCAAGAGCATGCTGCATCATATGTTGTGTCCATCTCAATTATTTTAGTATATAATAAAAACTAAAGTCAGTAGGTGGACTAATGACATTAAACATGTAGTTTCCAATGCTCTCAGAATGTCTCTACTGGATTTTAAATTAACTGATCAAGGAGTAAATGTGTGTAGTTCACCTACTTTGGGCGTAATAGATAATAAATCCAAAACAGCTTCAGAAGGATCTGAAATCCATTAGGTTATGCAGCACTGCAGAACCATCTTGGAAGTTGCTTCCCCCTGACAATCTAAAGGTCATCAAAATGCGTATGTAGGATATCACAAGATAATCATTAAAAACAGTAAGATGTAAATCCACCATCTACCATTTTATAAAGTTAGTACAAATGACTATTTAAAGCTTAATTATGTATAAAAACCAATTTTATTTAATTTCCAAATAAAGGCTTCTAAACAAATGGCCTCATTTTAGGCCTGATCACCACAACAGCTGGTAAGCTAACATCCTCTTCCCAAGAGTGACTAGATTAGAGTGGCTGGAGACTAGAGGCCAAAAGATTTTAGCGACAGGGTCCCAGCTGGTATTTATTCCCTTTGAGCCAACAGAGCAAGGCTCTGCTGACTTCCACGACTCTGTTCTGAGTCAATTCCTTGGGATTTTGCTTCTGAGGGATGGTGATGAGGCATATTCATTTAGCTGATTTTTGGGGTAAGTCTATATCTAGTAGACCCTAACCAGCTAGTATTTTTAAGGAGTACATATGCATGCGCCCAGAGGAGTGTGAAAGCGTACTAAACAAAAAAACGGGTTCCACTCAAAACAGGAGTGCCTTTACTTACAGTATTCCCAAGAATCTCACCATGGCACTTCTGCCGCATTGTCAGAATGTAATAGTTAGCAGCATGCTTAGACGTGCACTTGAAAATAACGCAAAGAGAGTGGGTGACGTGTTGGAGCTGCACTGGAGAAAGATAGCAAACCCAACTTGCCCGTGGTCTCTCCTAGCTTTTGTAGTTGCCCAGGGAGAAAGGCCCAAGTGTTGACTAGTTTATTGCCAGCATTTCCTCACAGAGATGCTTCTCCCATCCATGTCACTATTGCAAATACTGCCTAGCTCTCCGGTTCAGCCACGGAGTATTGCTGGGCTGGCCATGCAACAAAACAGGGAGCCTGACTCAGCTGCCACTTGGAATATTCCGTAAGATGAGAGCTCTGTGGTAAGGTGCATGAATACCATTCTGGTGAGTGGCACGGACAAGCCTATTAATAGATGGAACCAGCCAATCTCTTACGACTGTATACAGGGCTTACACAAAGTGTGCGAACATAGCTGGGAGGGGAAATCGGGAAGGAACAAGACATTTGTTTTGGTAAAGAAAATAGTCAAGTGATTTCTGAGCTAACACCTTCACTGCTAAGAATTTGCCCAAAACTTTTAACACACAAATAAAAATATCCTTAAAAAAAACTGGTTCATAATGGAAAACTGTAGCTGTCAGACTCTCTTTAGTACTTGTTTTCAGTCAACTCAAAATTTCTGGAGTGTTTTGTTTTGATTCTGCTGTTTTTCAGCCTGCGTGGTTTTTATTATTATTATTTTATTATTATTTAAGATTGGCCATATTGGAATTAGAAACCTTTAGATATTAAAAAAACAAAACATTTTTCTTTTTAACGTAAGTTTTTTCTTGGCTGAAACTTTAGACCAAGCTCAACCTGACTTTGGGGATTTTTTTTTAATTGCTCCATCTAACTCTGTTACACTATCTTACAAGGAGAATAAGTCAAAGATTATACGATACTCTGATTTTCTTGTAATGGAGGTCACAAACAAAGTGCATTTCTCTAAGTGCCCAAGATCAAAGATGGTAGAGGAGGAAATTAAACTCTGGTCTCTCAAGTCAGAGGCTAAGGTGCTGCCTCCTGCAGAACCACGAGCTCCGTGTTTTATCACCAAACACAGTCATGTGACAAAATTAAGTTTTGAAGCTCCTCTTCAGAAATCAGTAGGCAATAGTCAGATCAGTTTTGAATGAGATATAATAATGATAGATTCAAAAGTCTACACTTTCAGAGCAGCAGATTGATATCCACAAGGCTAAATTCTCTCCACCGCTTTGAATATTCACCTTAGAATGCAGCATGGGCAAGGATCTGAACTTAGCAAACTGTATTTTCCTTCCATTCATAGATCTTACCATTACAAGTAAGGAGAAGGAACAGCCTATCAAACACTGTAAATGAGTCTTTTCCTCTACTGTACATTGGTTCTTACTCAGGGTGGCCTCACAGGCTGAAAAACTTCATGACAACCCAATTTGGCATTTCAAAAATCACTTAGGATTTTTGGAGAAATGAGAAGCTAAGATTTGAGAGAAAGATCAGTCTGCCATCCTGATTTTCATATTCTATAAAAGTGGCCAGTCAGTGGAATTTCTCGCAAAACAAGATTCTTTGCATAGCTCCCTGCCAAGACCAAATGGAAAAAAAGGAACATGAAATCTGAAGTTACTTTCACAGAGCTATCCACAGTAATATAAGAAACTGCATAGGACATATGATCACATTGGAGGAGGAGAGGAAATCTTAATGCAAAAAAATCTACATGTTGCACTGTGAATTAGGGATATTAAATATTAGTTAACTGAAGAGTCGATTAACCTCATGAATTCTCATCGGTTACATGACTATTCTATAGTCCCAGAGGTGAGGCCGGCAGCCAGTGCACTCCAGCCCACTCCTGAGGAGCCCACTCCCCTCACAGACCAGCTGCCTGTTGCCCTGTGCTGCTGCCTCTAATAGAGAGGAAGCAGCATGGGGTGGCAGCAGCCCCTGTCCAGGGGCAGGTCTGAGCTCCCAGACACAGTACAAGCCAGGACTGATCCGGGCTGCTTGTTCGCCTGGCTCCTAATACACTTTAAATGCAGAGTTGCAGCGGGGGTATATCCCGGACCCACCGCAAGCCAAGACTGAGCTGCTGGCCAGCTTGCTAAAAAATGTACTGATGGGGAGAATGCATGTAGTCTATAGCATTAACCTCTAAGCTTTTGCTTATCAGTTAATTGGTTAATCAATTATATTATTAAATCCCTACTTTGAGTTTCGTCATCCATAAAAATGAGGCATCAACTCTCATGTATTTCAAGACAAAGACATCAATCATAATAGTAAGGCCACAAAGTTTTCCAAAGTTGGATGTTTGAAGTGTAAAAGTCTATATGTATTGCCATTTTAGTCTAGACTTTTCAGAAAAATCTAAGGAACTTAAGGTGGCCAGAGTCCTTTTGCTTCCTTTAAGAAAAATAAAGTTGGGATTGTCAAACATTAAAAATATTTATTCCACCCACCCACTTCTACACTAATTTGCAATTATGACACATGAAGTACTAATACAACAGGGAAGCAAATTTCCTTAAAAGGGAAAAAAATACAAGGCTTAATTTTTATGGATTTTCACCACCCCATTTCCTAAAGCCTTTCACAGTAAAAATCAGTTAGGAAATGCTAGTTGAAAGTATCCATTACATGAATGACTTACATAGTTATCTCTTGCAGACCAGCCTGGGTAAAGCTGCATGTGTAGCTGCCTTTCTTTACGAGCTAGTTCATAATATTTAGCTTGTTCTTCACGGGAGAGAGCATGCCACTGGAAATAAAACAAACAGTGTTAAACTAGGAAATACGCCATATCCAAGCAAGAATTCTTATGAACAAATGTTGCTGTGACCCTTTTCTTGGACTTTTCCCACTGCAATTGGAGAAGAAATTCATTGCTTATCATGAGCTCTTGCATTTCCTACTCAATCTTTGGAACATTTGTCAGCTTTATAAATGCCAGCTGCCTGGAGCTAGACAAAATTTGTTTTTGCAAACTACAGGAGTCTCCATATAATCTGTACATGGAGCTATGTTGCCCATGGTCACATGAGAAGTCCACAATAAAACAAACTTGCTTTATTTACACCATCTTCTCTTTTCCCATATCTGAGTGCAAATATGAATGATATAGCCACGCTACAACAGTGAAATTGGGCTGCTGTAACATTGTAGTGTAGCTGCTTCCTACAAATGGACAGAAGGGGTTTTTCTTTCAATGTACTTAGCTACTTCCTTTTGAGATGCAGATTAAGTCCGTGGAAGAATCAACATAGCTGCATCTGCACCAGGGAATAGGTCAACTCGGTGTCAACATTTTCACAGCCTCAATTGACATACCTAGACTGTTCTATTTTTATTTAAGATAAGACTAGGCCTAAGGCTTGGTCTATATGTAAGATGTTAGGCTGACATAACACAGTTGGTCAGAGTGTGTGTGGGGGGGGAAACACACACTCCTGACACACACAGCTATATTACTCTATTCTTTCCTCACCCTCCGTCCTTGCCCAGTGTAAGCACAGCTATGTCAATGGGAGAATGCTTTCATTGACAAAACTCACTCAGGAAGGTGTTGTTCCTAATAGGGAAGTGAATGGGTAACTGGTACCTGGGAGCAGCCCTGCAGGGGTCAGGAGCCAGCCCCCATGTGTGAGGGGAATAAAAGCAACAGCCCCATGGGAGGGGGGGGGGGCGGGGGGAGAAGCACTTGGCTACCGCTCATTGTGGGGGTTGTTGGCAGCAGGAGTTTAAGGTTTAACTTAACTGGGATTTTACATCCCTAGTTCCTAAAACTTATGGAAAAAACCTCTCCCCTCAGCATATAAGACATAGGTCTACAGTACAGGGTAGTTCCAGCATAGCTATGCCAGTATACTCTCCGCAGTGGAGCAATTGCTAATTTAGGTTCCAAGACAGAGAGTCTCCTGTCTGAGTTGTTTGTAAACCTCACATATTCCTATAGGCTCAACTCTTAAGTTGAGGTTGGTAAATGAAGTTACAGAAAGATGGGTGAAAGCTATTTGGGGATAGGACTGTGACTGTGTTTTGTATTTGTACAGTGCCTAGCACACTGGGATCCTGTTTCATGTTTGGGGATCCAAGGCACTACTGTAATAAAGATAATTTACTTTTGCAAGTTTGCACCACTAAGGCAATCACGCAGCCCAAGAGCACACTAGCAATAGTAAGTAGTATCGGCACCTCTGCCTGTGGCCTGTGTCCCAGCAAATGCTAAGCTAGTTTTGCGCTGGTTCCTGGGTGCAGAGGAAAAAAAAATCCTGGAACAAGGCCACTTTCCCTTTCTATCTCCTTAGTTCCAGCAGTAAATTTCCAAGACCAACAGAGAGATATGTTTGCTGTTACCCACTTTTCAAATCTAACCTTGCAGAGTTGGAGGGCATTGCCAACCGATGGGTGGCAGCATCCAACTCCTTTCTACTTCAGACCTAGAAAGACTTTAGATAACTTTTTACCATTGTGCAGTCAAGTTTATTGTTTCCCCCATTTCCTCTGTTTGTTTGGATTCTTCAGACAACATGGAAGATTTATTCTTTAAAATAATGTGACAAACTAGCAGGGAGACTCAGCAGCAAGAGTGCTCACCTGAAACTACTGTTAACTGATGGCCAAGGTTTCAGGTCGAGAGTGTCCTATTAACGTCTTGCTTTTGACACTTATGTCAAAGGTGCAGAGTAAAGGTTTGGTAAGTTTTCACTTAAGTTCCAAGATGTTGCTGAAAGCACAGCAATCAGTTTATTTGTGGCTTTCTACCAGGCTCAGTGCATGGTATCTCAATACTATCCAAAAAGCACCGACTATTCCAGAATAAATAAAGTCTGTCTTTTACCTCCGAGCAGTCAGTCAATCTGGGACACCCAGTAAAAACAGCTAGGGAACAAATTCCACACAAAGAACACCATTCAGGCAGCAGGTAGACACAACGAAGGCAGCCAGCTTTCAACAGAGAGGCTAGGCTATGAAGGTCAGAGTACCTCAACTAGTTGCCAGTTTAGGCATTTCTGCTCCAACGCACCTAAAGTATATGTACTTAGGAAAGTGTTAGATGAGACACATGTTGGGGAAGACTGCTATGTTCATAGCAAAATGATGCATTGAATATAGCTGCCTTATGACCATGAAAATAAAACATCTTTCTAATAAGGGAATCTTATCTTTCCACATTCAAAACATAGTAGAAGCTTACATGTAATATGAGGAGGTGAAAGGGTAAATGGCATGGGGAATTCCATTTTATTTTCTGGGGGGGGGGGGATCACTGGACTTCAACATTTTGCAGAAGATTTACTTGTACAAGTGTAGAGGCCCCTCTGAATAAAGAGATGTTCTCCCCTATCACATCTCTTGGAGACCGACTATTCTTGATCAGAATTATAACTTTTTAATACCCATCTTTAAAAAAAGCATCTGATAATGTGAGTAATAGGGCATTGTTATGCCCATAAAAGCCAGGAAACACAGCCTTCAGGCTGCAAATGGAGGCTGTCATTCTAGCCTTACTAGCATTATCATACCTGCTCCCTCAACACCTCTCCTTCATACTTGGCAGTGACTTTGTGAATGAAGGTCTCTGTGCCAATTCCAATGTGCATTCTGAACTCTGAATTCTCTTGCTGTCTTGAGCTGTTTTTTTTAACCCTGAACTTAAACACTTTATATGTACATATCTGTATTAAATTAAACCATAAACTGAACGGCTTGTCTAGATTGGCAAGTTTTTCCACAAAAGCAGCTGCTTTTGTGGAAAAACTTGCCAATCTAGACAAGCCGTTCAGTTTATGGTTTAATTTAATACAGATATGTACATATAAAGTGTTTAAGTTCAGGGTTAAAAAAAACAGCTCAAGACAGCAAGAGAATTCAGAGTTCAGAATGCACATTGGAATTGGCACAGAGACCTTCATTCACAAAGTCACTGCCAAGTATGAAGGAGAGGTGTTGAGGGAGCAGGTATGATAATGCTAGTAAGGCTAGAATGACAGCCTCCATTTGCAGCCTGAAGGCTGTGTTTCCTGGCTTTTATGGGCATAACAATGCCCTATTACTCACATTATCAGATGCTTTTTTTAAAGATGGGTATTAAAAAGTTATAATTCTGATCAAGACAAAAAAACCCATAAAGCTGCATTTTGTCAGATTCTGCAATTGTCATGGTTTTATATCAGAAATGTTTTTTAATATTTGCTTGGGGTGGCGTTAATAGTTCTCACTGATCCCCGGGTACTGCCAACTTAAAACCTGGACTCCAGAGAGGGTCAGGGTATCTCTACACTGCACGCTTGTTTCGAAATAAGCTATTCCAGAATAGTTATTCCAAAGTATCTTATTTCGAAATAGCAGCTTCAGCACTCTAGCTTAGTCACTACTTACACGGACAGGAGGGGTTCTCCCATCAGCACAGGGAATTCCTCTCTCCAAGAAGCTCTAGATCAGTGGTCTGCAACCTTTTTGAGCACAAGATCACTTCTTGAATTTAAGTGCAATCCAATATCTATCTCAAATATAAATACGCTTGCCCTGTCTCCTTCCCACCCCTTCTCCAAGGCCCTACCCCCTCACTTTCACCAGTCTGGTTCAGAGGGTTGGGCACAGGCTCTGGTCTTGGAATCAGGGATTTGGCACGTGAGAAGGGCTCTGAGCTGAGTTTGGGGGAGGCTGTTGGGGTGCGGGAGGGGGTTCTAGGTGCAGGTGCTGAGAGGGCATTTGGATGCTGGGGTGAGGAGGCGGTTCATGCCTGGGGTAGGAGTTCAGGATGTGGGCTCCAGCTGGGCACTGCTGGTGGCTCCTGGGTGGGGGTGCAGTGGAGCTAAGACAGGCTCACCCCTGCCCTGGCCCTGAACCACTCCCAAAAGCAGCCAGCAAACTCCATCCCAAGGCCTCTTGTGCCCCCTCTGCTGTGTGGAGAAAGGATATAGAGTGGGAGGGGGCACCTTGACATTAGCACCCTCCTCTTTGCTGGCACTCGATAGCCTATTGGCCACATAGATCACCTGGCAAAGGCTCCAAGATCTACTGGTAGATCCCGATCTACTGGTTGGTGACCACTGCTCTAGATAGATTGACAGACTAATTCTTCTAAGGACCCTAGCACTGTATACACCGGGGGTTAGTCGGCTTTATTATGTTACTCAGGGGTGTAGGTTTTTCATACTCCCTGAGTGATGTAGCTGGGTAGATCTTAACTTTGAAGTTGTAGCCAGGCCTAAGTTCATATACATTCAAAAGGTGTGTACACACACTCACACAGCACAGGTTTTGTGTGTGTTTCATTTGTTGGTAGGGCTGGGCAGGTTAGTTAGAATGTAAATAAGAGCCAAAGTGGTTAACACCTTAAAGCAGGTCTTGAGGTATATTAATGAGGTCAGACTATGGATAACATGGGTTAAGAGTCAGAGATTTGTGTGATTAAAAACATAAAATGGATCCTTAAGGCTAGACAGATTAGAGGAGAAAAGGGGAGTGAGTGTCATTAGCCAGGGCCATGAAAGCAGTAACTAGAAACTTATGCTGGATAAGGGGGTGCCAATGAAGTGATTTAAAGAAGAGGGGTGAGGTGTGTGGTCAGACTGCATGGCACAGGATACATCTTTGTACTTCATTTTGTAAGTATTCAAATGAATAACGTGAATGTCAGGGAGGCTCCAGAGAAAAGTTACAGTAGCCAAGACAGATGAGAAGGGTGTAATGAAAGTCTCTGCAGTTTAAACAGATATCTTCATATGGGGGAACAAGTAGCCATGTTACAGCTCTGCTAACAACCTAATTAAGGTTGTTTTAAGGTACATTTTACATGCTCTAAAACCCAGACAAGACTCAATTGTCTCAAATTTGCTGTGAGTCATGGGAGTGCTGGGTCGTGTTAGTGGTCCAGTTTGGGGTTACAGTTCCCAAGACTCATCTCCTTTAAAAACCCAACATTTTACACAGCCATATAATTAGTTGAGCAGTGAGGGAGGGATGGGGATAATGGAGCAGTGAAGAGTGGTACAGCTGTTGGGAGGGAAGATTAGGAGAAGGAAGGATTTGGGGCTTTGCCAAGTGAAGAGGGATAAATGGGAATCAGTGGCAAGAGGAGATCCAAGGGAGAAGGTGCAGGATTAGCTGTGGTAGAGAGATATTAAGGGTAGGGGGCCTGTCCAGCCCATACCTTCCCCTCTAATTTGAAGTGGCCCCCCACTTCCTTGCTCTGCTCCACTTGTCTTAGCTGAGTTGGGAAGTGGGGGCAGATGCCTTCCAGTCTCCGATCCGTCAATTAGGAAACAACTGAGGGCCAGAGGGAGGAGCACTTCACATGACGGGGGTATGCAGAAATGATCCAAGCCAACACCTGGGAAGGCTGAAGGTATGCCTACACTATGGAGTTTGTGCCAGCATAACCCCACAGGTTAGACACGGTCTGCACCAATTGAAGCGCTCCCCTTCCACCTCCCTTCAGTGTGGAAACATCAGCTCCCCAAGTGACGGTGGCTACGTTGACCAAAGCGTTCTTTTGTCACAGCCCCGGAACTGGTGGTTAGGCTGGCATGCTGCTGTGGAGGGAGGGGCAGGAAGCAGCACCGCTTCTGGAAAGCACGGAGGCCGTCCTGCCCCTCCCTCATAGAGGCGCAGCCATAAAGTAACACGGCATGAAATGGACCCACCCAGCCCGCATCTTTTCTGCTGCTGCCGCTGGTTGGGGAAGGGGGCCCGGTGCAGACTCCTGCTGCCGACACAGTCCCATTGGTCCCTCAACGAGATCATGCTTGACCCCACCCCTGTACACGCTGGCAGTGGTGGGGGGTGGGCGGGGGGCTGGACGGCTCTGGCTGCACCACACCAGGGGCAGTGGTGGGGTGGCGTTGGCACTCCTTGGAAGCAGAAGTGGTGCTGCTTCCAGTGTGTGCTGGGGAGGCCCTGCCCCTCCCTTGGAACGACATGGCTGGAAGCCACCTGGCCTGCGTCTTCCCCTCCACCGCAGCCAGTGAGACTCCTGCTGCTGGTTGCTGGAGAGTGCGGAGGCTGTCCTGCCCCTCCCTCAGAGAGGGAGACATAAGTAACACTGCACGAGCTGGACTCACCCACCCAGCACCTCCTGCCCTTGTGGAGTGCACCCTGGGGGGGTGCATGCACCTCCTACGTGTTGCATATGGATGGAGCCAAGCAGCAAACTGTACATTATTCTTTACAAATAGAATCACATTGATGCCAAATCTGTGTAAAAGCTGAGAGCTTTAAGTAGCTGGCAAGCACAAAAGTCCCAGAAGAGAGAGAGAGAATCTCAACTTATTGGCAGTCTCAGAATTTGCAAATAGCCAGGGGTAGAGAAAGACCTTTTAAATCATAGAACACTAGAACTAGAAGGAACCTTGAGATGGCATTAAGTCCAGTCCCCTGCAGTCACGGCAAGACCAAGCATCACCTAGACCATCCCTGACAGGTGTTTTTTAAATCTGCTTTTCAAAATCTCCAATGAGAGAGAGTCCACAATCTCCCTAGGCAATTTCAGTTCTTAGTCACCATGACAGGGAGCTTTTTCCAAAATGTACGGCCTTACATTTCATTTGCTTCAATTAACCCAAATTCTTCTTGTCCTATCGTAAGAAGTAAAGGAGAATAATCTTTCTCCCTCCTCCTTGTAACAACCTTTTAAGTACCTGAAAGCCCTTATGTCCTATCTCAGACTGAACAAACCCAATTCTTTCAGTCTTCCCTCTTAGGTCGTGTTTTCTAGACCAAAGATCATTTTTGTAGCTCTTTTCTGAACTTTCTCCACATCTCTCCTGAAATGTGGTGCCCAAAACTGGACATAATACTCCACTTGAGGCGTAATCAGAGCAGAGTAGAGAGGAAGAATTACTACTTGTGTCTTGCTTATGTCACTCCTGTTGATACATCCCAGAATATTTGCTTTTTTTTATGACAGTATCACACTTTTCACTCCTGTCTTCACTGTACAGGCAGTCCCTGGGTTACGTACAAGATAGGGACTGTAGGTTTGTTCTTAAGTTGAATTTGTATGTAAGTCGGAACTGGTACATATTGTAGGGGAAACTCTAGCCAAACATTTCTCCAGAGCTCAGTTTTATTCTCCCACACCTCACTTCCCTCAGTCCTTTATTCTCAAGCTGAGGTGTCTGCTGAGAAAAGCCGCTCTGCGTCTCCCTGGTCTGCTGGGGGGAAGCAGCTAGGGTTGCCTCACCCCGTTTGTAAGTAGGGATCCGATGTAAGTCGGATCCATGTAACCCGGGGACTGCCTGTACTCCTTCCTAGGCAGTCCTTTCTCATTTTATGTGTGTGCAGTGGATTGTTCCTTCCTAAGTGGAGTACATTGCATTTGTCCTTGTTGAATTTCATCCCATTTACCTCAGACCATTTCTCCAGTGTGTCCAGATCAAGGGTGGGCAATAATTTTTAAAAAGGGCCACTTCAGATATTTCTAAACTGACCCAGGGCCACCCCAGCAGGAGTGGGGCCTGAAGACTTCTTGTGTTTCCTCCCTACCCTGATTGGCCTGGGGTGGAGGAACATGAGAAGTCTTCTCCCTCCCTCCCTGCCCCCTAGATTGAAATGCCAGCTGTTTTAAAACAGCTGGCATTCCCTCTAGGAGTCTAGCGAAAAGAGATCTCACACGTTCTCCCTGCCCGAAGGCCAATCAGGGCCTGCAGGCAGGGATCGTGCAAAGTCTCCTCACCCCACAAGAGTGCACAGCAGCTAGAGACACTCCAGCTGTTTTAAAACAGCCAGCATATCTCTCTAGCTGCTGCGCACTCTTGCAGGAGTGAGAAGACTTTGAGCAAAACCCCACCCCAGGCCAATCAGGCTGGATCCACTGCCTTGGCAGGCCGGATCCAGCCCGCAGAGGGCACTTTGCCCACCCCAGTCCAGATCATTTTGAATTATGACCCTATCCTCAAAAGCACTTACAACCCTCCGATCTTGGTATCATCTGCAAATTTTCTATGTGTACTCTTTGCCATTATCTAAATCATTGATGAAGATATTGTACAGAACTGGTCCCAAAACTGATCCCTGCAGAATCCCACTTGTTATGCCCTTCCAACATGACTGTGAATCATTGATAACTACACTCTGGGAACAGTTATCCAACCAGTTATGTCCCGATCTTACAGTAGCTCCATCCCTAATTGGTAATGAGGTGGACAAGTGAAACTATATCAAATGCCTTACTAAAGTCTAGCTATATCAAATCTGCTGTTTCCCCTTTATTCACAAGGCCTGTTATCCTGTCAAAGAAAGCTAATCATGTTACTTGGCATGTATTCCGATCTGATAATTTTTAAAGTAAAGTGAAAATGCAGTATTACTAAGACAGCGCTATATCTCTTTGGCTAGTTTACCAATGCTGGGCATGGATAATTCTAAAGTCTGGTCTACAGTAGGAAGTTAGGTTGGTACCACTACATGGTGCAGGGATGTGAAAAATCCCCATCACAAACAGTGCAGTTAAACCAACCTAAGATGGAGTTAGTAAAATATTAAAACAGCCCTTGGTAACACATTGATTAGACACAATTGCAGCTTTTCGGCTGTAGCACAGCACGTAAGAAAGGGGTGACTCTCCTGCATGAAACCAAGATGACAGTTTTTATTTTTAGTTGCACACCCTTGCTTCTACTAGCTATGTTAATAGGTGTATTCTAGTCAGCACATCAAGCCAGAAAGTTTGCCTTAAACCCCTCTAACCCCAATTACTAGTACATACATATATTACTGTACATACCCTTCTGCCAAGAATCTGGTTGATAGCTGCGCTCTCTTTCAGAGTACACTCTGCTACGACGTTTGCTCTCATTTCTTTCATGTATAACATGAAAGCATTCAGAGGTTTTTTAATGTGAGGTCTTTTCGGCTCTTGCTCTTTTCTCTGCTCATGCTGAGGCTTCCTAAAACGTGGTGGGGGAAAAAAATCATAACATCTGTTTACCTTTAGCCTAAAAGATATTGAGAGGAATATTTCCAAGCTTCAATTTCAAATTAAGGATATGCTACTGTATGTTAAGTTTGAGAACTCATGTTGGATCTACTATTGCAACTTTTGAACTTACACTCGAATCTCAAAGTTACAAACCCCAGAGTTATGAACTGACAGGTCAACCACACACTTCATTTGCAACCAGAAGTATGCAATCAGGCAGCAAAAGAAACCAAAGAAAAAAAATGCAAATACCATATAGAACTGTGCTAAACAAACTACTTAAAAGGAGAGGGGGAGTTTTTTTAAAAAAGTTGTCATAAGGAAACTATGTCCCTGCCCCCCCCCCCTCTCTCTCAAAAAAAAAAAAAAATTTCCTGCAGAAAGACAGTGTGGTCATCACATCACTCTTGTGCCGCAGCCCTCCCTCCACCCTCAGCCACCAGTCTCCTCCCTTCCTCCCCCCACCCCCGCAGTGCTGGGACGGGGGCAGGAGCTATGTGGACC